AGTTCCCTTTTTGCGTGGGCTGCCAGGGAGCCCCCATGTATCTGAAAATGGTCAGACCCAGCGGTGTCTTTGACCCTGTGATTAGCGTATTGATCTCACTTTCCTACCCGTAGCCCAGTTTGTTTCAATGTTTTGTACTTTGTTGGTAGTTCAGGCTTTTGTGGTGAGCTTGCCTCTAGTCCTTTCATTTGAACGAGGCAGAGGAATCTCGTGAGGTCAGCCTAGGCAGTGCAGGAATACCAGCAAAGGCTGGTGGGATATAATTTATGGGAAGGCGAGCCTGACTAGAGCCCAGTGGGCTGAGGAGCAAGGCAAATTTGATTGGAAAGAGAGCTCGGTCAGAGGAGGACTTGAGATTTCATTCTGGAAGACGCAGAGCTGTGGTTGGAGTGACAACCGTCTTGAGGGGGGTACTTGGAAGGGCCATTCTCTTAATGTATCCTGAGGGAAAAGTTGAAGTCTTAGGTTATGTGTGCAAAACAAAGAAGCCCTGTAACTTTCCCGCCGTACCCTCGGCACAGCCCCTCCCGCCCCATCCGCCGCACTAGCAGCAGGTGCAGCATGGTTCAGAAGCCATGCTGTAGTGAGTGCAGGTGAGCAAACGTGCACCAGCTGACCCTTGTGCTGGCCGCTCATACGCAGATCCGACTTCCCGGTCTGTGTCACCCACAGAGGATGGGGCAAGGATCCCGGAAAAAGGCAGTTAGGATACAGTGTAACCTGGGGTGTGTGCCTGGACCGCCTCGTGGAGACCCAGAAATGACCTGAATGGGCGAGGGAGCTCTTCCCCAGGAGGCAGTGCCCAAGCTGAGGCTGGAAGTGGGAAGAGTTGGACCTGGGGTGGGAGTTGGGCATTTGGGGCAGGAGAGATTGAGCTCCTGTGCGAAGGCGTGGAGGGGGGAGACGGTGTTCCTGTTCCAGGAACTGTGACCACGTCGGGCTGAGTGAGACTTTCTGGCTACATCTTACAGGGTGTGTGGGTGAGTCAGGGCAGGAGGTGGGTGTTAGAGCGGTGACAGGCCAGATCAGACAAGAGGAAAGGGAACGTGGGACAAACAAGGGGCCTTTATTCCTGGGGTTGCAGCCTCAAAACTGCAGTGCAGTTAGCTGGTGCAGTGCAATAGGGAATGGTGGGGACTGCAGCGAGCAGGTCATTTCCAGGGTCCAGAGAGAGAGCTTGGTCAGAGGAGGACTTGCACTTTCATTCTGGAAGACGCAGAGCTGTGGAGTGACAGTGCAGGTGGAGAGGGAGCTATGTGACTGGGTGGTGAAGGGAGCAGAGGTGCCACCTCCAAGCCCCTTCCTGCCAGGTTGTGGAGAAAACATGGGGCCTGTTAGAAGGCCAAGAGCTCAGGGAGAGTGGGGTGCCCAGGACACTGTCCCTTGGGTTTCCAGGGTGACCAACGGGACGAGGAGGAAGAGACCCAGATGAAGAAGTCCGAATCGGAGGTAGAGGTGAGAGCTGGGAAGAGGGCACATGAGGTGGGCAGGGCTCGCCTCTGCTGGGCCCGCCCTGACCCCTTCTCTGTGCCCCTAGGAGGCAGCGGCCATTATTGCCCAGCGGCCTGACAACCCGCGGGAATTCTTCAAGCAGCAGGAACGAGTTGCATCAGCCTCTGCGGGCAGCTGCGATGCACCCTCGCCCTTCAACCACCGGCCAGGTAGTCCCAGGTCCCACCCCCACCTGACCCCCACTCCTCAGGTCTGGGGCCTGAGCCTCCCTGCGGCTCTTTCTTGGAAGGGAAGCCTTGCCCAAGGACCCCTTGGAGAAGGCAAGGCCACTCATCGAGTCTGCTTTCACTCCCCGGCTCCGAGGTGGCAGGACTGAGAGGGGCTCAAGCCGGGGTCGGTGTTGGCCTTGGCTGAGCAGCGGGTAGTGCCAGAGGTCATCCGGGCAGCTCTGGCATGGGCTGAGGCACCCCCCTGGCTGCAGGGAGCAGCCCCGCCGGGGTTGAACTAGGTCTTGCTTGCAGGGCTGCGGGTGCATGTGGGGTGGGCTCTGACCCTGGACCTGAGTTTGAGCAGCCTGGGACCCTGCACCCAGTGCTCGCTGCTGGGGTTCTCGCGGTGCGGCTCCCACCTCCCTCCACAAAGCACCTTTCCGCTCTGTCCGCTGCTCTGCGTGTTTGCCCCTGCTGTGTGCTTGGCCCTGTGCTGGGGTTCCAGGGCTGGGGCCCGCTGTCCCGTGATGCTTAGGGGCTGGTTTGGTGTGGCAGGCTCATTGCTGTGCGTGCCTGGTGCTGGTGGGAGTCATCTGATGGCTTGAGGCTGTGGCCTAGCGTGGCTGATTGTGCGCCCTAGCTGAAAGCAGTTTGGACGGCTAGGGCCGGCCCTGGGGGCGGGTGAGGCCTCGGGCAGGGGTGGGGGAGACTGACCCTCTCTTGTCCTCTGTCTCTCTCTGTCTGTCTCTCTCGGCAGGTCGTCCGTACTGCCCTTTCATAAAGGCATCGGACAGTGGGCCTTCCTCCTCCTCCTCTTCCTCCTCCTCCCCTCCACGGACTCCCTTTCCCTATATCACCTGTCACCGCACCCCAAACCTCTCTTCCTCCCTCCCATGTAGGTAGCAGCCCCAGGCTTCAGTGGGAGGGGTAAGGAGGGCCCCGCTTCCCAGCAGTGCCCCCACCCTCACTCCCCCAGCCTGACCGCTGATCTCTGGTGTTTGTCCCCAGAGCAGGTACTACCTGCCTCTTTCCCCTGGCCCCGAAGGGGCTCTGACCCCAAGGGGCCTGGCTTATAGGATCTGGAGCTGTGGTCTGGCCCCTGAGGGGCCTGGGGGGGCTCCCAGCCTCCACCCAGACTCCACACAGGAGGTGCTGGCCAGACCCCAAGGTGGACAGTCCTGGCCCCCACCTGGCTCCCGGGCCCTCCCTGACCAGCCTGGGGGTTTGTTCCACAGGCAGCCACCTGGACAGCCACCGGAGGATGGCACCCACCCCCATCCCCACCCGGAGCCCATCTGACTCCAGCACGGCTTCTACCCCTGTCACCGAACAGATTGAGCGGGCTCTGGATGAGGTCATGTCCTCACAGCCTCCACCACTGCCCCCGCCACCCCCGCAAGGTGAGTGAGGGGCTACACCCTAGCTGCCCCAGGGCTCCCACCAGTCCTTGGGCTGGGACCCCCACGTGGCCATGGTAGCACCTCCTCGGGGATCTGAGTCAGCCATCACCCACGTTGTACTGCGCTGGGGGTGCCTATGGCCGGGGGGAGCCCTGGTGTTGTGGTCAGGCCTGCCGTCTCTCAACCTCGGCGTGTCTCCCTGGCACGGGGATCCGGCCTTCTCCCGGGGCTGCCGAGCAGCTGAAAGAGCCTAGGAGATAGAGGGGCAGCAGGGCCCAGGGGGTGTGCTGGAAGGTGCTCCGTATGGAGCCCTTCATGGAAGCCTCCTCCCCTGGAAGCCGCTGACTCCCCAGCGGGTGGGCAGAGCAGAGTAGGGTGGCTGTCCCCAGGCCTGCGTCCTTTCCTGGGGGAGCTGACCACCTGTCTGTCCTCCATGTGTGCTATGACAGAGACCCAGGAGCCCGGGCCCGGCCTGGATAGCGAAGAGACCAGCAAAGAGGCCAGAGCTGCAGCCCCTGAGGCCTGGGCCGGCCCCGGGGAGGAGCCCCCACAGGCCCCGGAGCCTCCCCGGGGGCAAGGCAGCCCCACGGAGGACTTGATGTTCACGGCAGCTCCAGAGCAGGCCGTCCTGGCTGCCCCGCTGGAGCCTGCCGCGGCCAGTGCGACCGCAGCTGACACCCCGGCCGCGGAGGCCGTAGAGACCGACACTGCCACTGCTCACACCGCTGTTGCCACCCCCGTAACCCCCGCCGCTGCCAGCCTCATTGACCTATGGCCTGGCAACGGGGAAGAGGCCTCCACAGCCCAGGCTGAGCCTCGGGTCCCCACACCTCCCTCGGGTGCCGAGGTCACTCTGGCAGAGGTACCCCTGCTAGACGAGGTGGCTGAGGAGCCACTGCCACTGGCAGGCAAAGGCTGTGCCAACCTTCTCAATTTTGATGAGCTGCCTGAGCCGCCAGCTACCTTCTGTGACCCAGAGGAGGAACTAGAAGGGGAGCCCCTAGCTGCCCCCCAGGTCCCAACTCTGCCCTCGGCTCTAGAGGAGCTGGATCAGGAGCCAGAGCCAGAGCCCCACCTGCTGACCAATGGCGAGACCACCCAGAAGGAGGGGACCCAGGTGGGGCAGGGACAGCCTGGTGGGAGGGGTGGTGGTCAGGGTTCTAGCAGGAGGGTACCCCCTTTCTCTGTGACCCACGTTATTGGAGGGTCATTCCGTTCTTCCTCCTTGGGCCAGCTCTGCTTTTTTTGCCCAAGGCAGGTATATATGTTTCCCTGGAAACCACTGATGGAATCACTGGTTGCTGGGGAAACGAGCTCAGGCCTGGTAGGTCCGCCCTAGTCATCCTGGGTGGGGCCCAGTGACCTGGAGCTTTCCTCCTGCAGGCCAGTGAGGGCTACTTCAGCCAATCACAGGAGGAGGAGTTCGCCCAATCGGAAGAGCCGTGCGCAAAGGCCCCGCCTCCTGTGTTCTACAACAAACCTCCAGGTAGTACTGGGATGGGCGATGGGGGGATTCCGGTAGGGGTGCTGGGTTCAAGTGTGAACATGCGCGTGCGCGCACGCACACAATCAGTTGGCGGTGCTGGGTTCAAGTGTGTTTGCATATACACACAGCCACAGCTCCCAGGGGTTGGGGGACAGCCGTGGATCTGCTGGGCAATCTCCTTAACTCCACTCCCTTCCCAACGTCACAGAAATCGACATCACCTGCTGGGATGCAGACCCAGTACCAGAAGAGGAGGAGGGCTTCGAGGGCGGTGATTAGCGGTGGCGCCCGCCCTCAGGCTGCCCTTGCCAAGGCCGCCCACCTGTGCCGGCCTCTGGCCAGACGGCCCGCCGCGCCTGCACTCGCAGCAGCTCCGCCTGGCACCCACTCCGGATTCCGGCCCTGGCCCAGGACTTGGCCGCTTCCCTACCCACAGGGCCCGACTTTTACAGCTTTTCTCTTTTTTTTAAAGTTGATAGGAGACTTGTACAGTTGACTGGTTTTCCTCCCGTTGGTAGTTGAGACGCTGTTGCAAATTCTACCCCGTCCCCGCCCGGTCCAGATTGTAGCTCTTAGTCCTCCCTGCTCATTCAAGCTGGCCGGGGTGGAGGCCTCACCCTACTTGGGGCCTGGCGTCGGGGGAGCTCTGGTGGGAAAATGCCCCACCTCTTTTCCTAGTTTTATGTTTCTTGGAAAAATATCACTTTGTATTCTCTGTCCAGGGCTTCAGATATTTTGCACGAATTTTAAAACATGGCAATAAATGGCTCGTGGGCTCTGGCTCCCTGGGACCCCCTCCCCGCCCTTCTCTTGACCCCTCCCCGCCTGTCCCAAAGGAAGTAGGCCCAACTGGGGCCCCTCAGCTTCCAGGCCCTTTCCTGCCCCCCTCCTGCTGGGCAGGTCCCAAGCTGGAGGCCCTAGGCGAGGATCAGGTCAGGGCTATTGGTGGGGCCCGGGGCTTGGGTGGCCCCTCCCCAACTCCTCCCTCTTTGCTTGGGTTCCTTTTTCACGTTCAGTAACTGTTTTTTGGAAAGCACAAACTTCTGTAACGGGTCGTGCTCATGTCTGTTAATAAAGAAATCCAGATCCCTTCGGGCCTGCTGCTCCGGGCCTCCAGGGGCGGATCTGGGGTGTGCCGCCTGCCCTGATCCCGATTCCCAACTCTTCCCACCTCCAAGGTCACCGGGGCTGCCTTCACTGTGATCTGATGGGCAGGGAAGTTAGGGTCTGGGGCTCCCAGGGGAACCAGCCTATGAAGTTAGGTTCCGCACCCTCAGGCCAGTTTGTAGTCAAAAGGCGCACTCAGGTTCTGTCCCACCAAGGCCCAGGCACGCCTGGCTACCAGAACCTTGGGCGCAAGCAGTGGGTGTCCCCTCCGCTTGTACCAAACCAGATCACACACCTTTATTATCCTCAAAATGTAACAAACGGGGTAAGAAATCCCTCCCCCCTCCCCCCCCCCCCCCCGCAGTCCAAGGGAAGCGTTTAAAAAGCCCCGCAGTCAGGCCATGAGTCCGCGGGTGGGGCCCGGAACGCCCCTCTATACGGCTGTAGTCCTCCCGAACAAGGGGATGGAGACCGGCAGACGCCAAGCTCCATGCTCCAGCGGCTCGCGGCTGCTGAGCTCCGAGTCGGTCCAGCTGGGGAAGACCCGGCGGCTACGGTCCGCTTGCAGACAGAGCGCAGGGCAGGGTGGTGCGGGCCGTGGAGCGCTGGGCAGGTGCAGCGCCGACGTGTAGCCCCGGTCCAGGAAGAGCGGCTTGTAGCTGGGCGGCGGCTGCTCCTGTTTCTCCGCGCTGTCGCGGCGGCTCAGAAAGGGTGTGACGATCTTACGGTAGAGGCCGCGCGTGTCCGTGAGCACCTCACTGTAGGGCGGCGGCGGCTCGGCCATCAGCACCGCCTCTTCATAGCACGGTGGCTTGGACATGTCCGATTCCGCTGCAGAATGGGAAGCGATCCGAGGGGTGAGGCCACCCGTCCCCGGCCTCCCGCGGAGGCCTTGGCCAGCCGCCAACCCCCGGCCCAGCCCGCTCCCTCCAAGGTCCTCAGGGAGGCTGTCCACTGGAAGCCTCGCTGGTCTGCAGTGGTCCCGCCCACCCTTAGTGGCCCGCGTTGCCCCGGGCAGAGGTCAGGACTCACCTTGGCGCGGGTAGCTCCAAGGCCGCGGCGGCACGGAGAGGTGCGCCGGCGGCGGGTGCGGAAGCGCGTGGTGGTGTGCGTGCGGGTGTGCGTGTGGTTGCGCCGGCCCGTGGTGCAGCAGCGGGTGAACGTGCACGTGCTGATGCGCGTGCGCCGGCGCCTCCAGGCGGCCGCGCTGCGGTGGTGGCGGTGGTGCCAAGCCTGGGGGGCTCCCGGCCAGGCTGCCCTCGAGCTCCAGGGGCTCCAGCTCGAGGGCGCGCAGGTTCTGCTCACGTAGTCGCTCCTCCTGGCGCCGTTTGAGGCGGCGGCGCAGGAAGCTGCAGAAGCAGCAGAGTAGGACGATGAGACCCCAGATGAGCCAGAAACCGGCGAAGCACGTGAGGAATGTGTAGGTGCCCTGGGACATAACCATGGCGGCGGCGGGGCGGCGGGTCCTCGGCTGCTTCACTGGACACTGGGCTCCTCTACGTGACCCCGGGCCCGCGCCACGCTCCCAGGCGCCGCCAGCGTCACTCGGGGACCCGCGGCCGGGGGCTGCCCGCGACGGGACTCAAGTTGTGCTCGCGCCGGCGGGGGACAGCAGCAGCGGCGCCCGCTCCTTCCCATGGCGCCGGTGGGCGCGCGGGCCGGCCTCACCCGGGGCCGCGCGGGACCTGTAGGACAGACACAGGGCGCGGTGAAGGCGCGCTGCAGTCCCGGACGACTTCCCTGCCCGCGCCGGTGCCCTGCGCAGTTCCGGGGAAGCCTCCTCTGCGGGAACCCCCACACTCCCCGGGGGGGCGGTGACGTCACCGAGGACGATGACGTCACATCTGGAGGTTTCCCCCGGTAGGGTTTTCCCGGATCTGAGACCCGGCAGCCGCCGCTGCGGAGCCGAGGGGACTCCAGACGGGCCAGCAGAGGGCGTGCGAAAGTCAGACTCAGCCTCAGTGCGCACGGGAGGTTCGCCACCCCAGAAGGTACCCCAGTTCGGAAAGGGTTGCAGAGGCCAGTGGATAGATCCCCCGGGGCGCTGAAGAGGCGTCTCGGGGCGGTTGCTGCGCGGCCGGGAAAGGGTGGCCCACCTCCTACAGCCCCACAAGCCGCCCACCGACGCCCAGCTTCAGCCCAGTGCATGCGCCTGGCAGCCCCAGGCGCTCTAGGCCTTGTACCCGCTCCTACCCCTGGCCGCCCAAAGCATGGAACATCCAGGCCCGCACTGCGGCCTCCTGGCTGTCGCCGCTCTCGTAGAGGGGGCTCAGGCGGGGTCGTTACTGCGTGCCACTGGCCTGCCTTTGTCTGCACCGCCAGGCGTGGGCCGTTCCCTCTTCCTTTCCTCTAGGCGCCTCCGCCTGTCAGATCCCAGCTCCGTCTCCGTTTCCCCAGCCTCCTACCAATTTGCAGCCCCGCTTGGCCCTACCCTTCTAGCTCCTGTGCGCGGTATGGCTTCCTCTCAATTCCTTTCCGTTTGTGCAGAGGGTAGGAGAAGTAGCTCGTTTGCTACTGTATCACCTGGTCTCTCATCACTCCAGATGGGCACGTCTAGTTCTGCCTCCTCCTCTCCACAGCCAGGGTTTAGAGGGGAACCTTGCATCCTAAGAGGTATGTAGGAGGGAGCCCTGACTGCCGAGTGACGGGTGGCAGGCGACTGTTCACCACCCCCACAGAACAGAAGTGTGCCCTTCTTGAATGCCTTCTAACTACCCAGGGCTTTCACATACAACCCTTTGGGATAACTATAGTTATTCCTATTTTACAGATGAGGGAGGGGGGAAAGAAATTAGCTGTGTAAATGGCAGATGGCAGTGCCTTAATCTGAACCCAAGCCTGGCCACAAAACCCTAACCAGGGTGGGAGGGTGCTGCTGCTTGAGCTACTCTGTGGGCCTCTTCCAAGAGCCCCATGGACCCCCCCACACCCACTTCCTCAGCATGTCCAACGCACACACACATTTAGCTCTGGGGCCACGGTGGGCCTGAGCCCCAAGCAGGGGGCTCCACATCAAGCTGTCTCAGACTGTTCTGACAGCAAGCCGGGCCAGAGGAAGCCTGGCTTCTGACAGGAAGCCAGGCCAGAGGCCACCCCACACTTCTCCCCAGATGGCTCCTGTCTGATTCTGTGGCTGCCTTGTGCCATGTGCCACTTGGTCCCCGTGCCAGTCCCTTTCTGCTGGGCCTGTGTTCCAGAACAGACAATGGCAAGAACAATAGTTCCACCCGCCCCCTCCACAACCCTACCATGAGGCTGCCATGGCGACGCAGCCCAGATAAAAACACGATGCTGCCAGTCACTGGGAGTTAATTAAATCTGTTGTTCTCCTTTTCCTGAGCCCACAGGAATTTTCAGGAATGCTCTGAGGAAGCTGGCACTGAGTAAGGGGCCCCTTGGCCTGCACAGCAGGAACAGCTTCAGATCAGAAAAGGTACTTCTGGGGCTGGAGGTGATGGAGTTTAGCTGAATTAGAAATAGAAATACCTGCCAAGAACTGTCTACTGCATGTCGGGCCTTGTTCTAGGCCCTTTCCATTCAGAATTTCATGTGATATGTAACACCACCTGCTCAGTGAGGGCCCATTTGATAGATGAGGAGACAAGCTCAGACAGAGAAATGACCTGCCCCAGGTCACACAGCTAATAAGGGGAGGAGCTAGGATTTGCCTGAATCTGAATCCAGAGTCTGTCAAAATACCTTCCCTTATGTGGCCACCGGAATGTAGACGAAGAGCCCGGTGCGTGTGAGCACCTGGTACGTGAGGACTTGGCAGCCATAGAGACACTGGGCCAACTGGCCAAGTTGGAGCCAAAACACACTTTCCTGTTGCTTCCCAACAAGACCCTGGCACTTCCGGCCACCAGCCCTCAACTCAAGAGTAGGAAAAGGCAGTAGGGTAGAGAAACAGGATGGCAGCTCCAAGGTTAACAAGGAATAAAGGACAGACTCTGGCGTGAGGGGCCCAGCTCAGCTGACTGGGCATTAGGGTGCATGGCAGCAGGCCACACCCAAGACCCCTGAGGTGCCAGTATGGCTCCTCAGCCAGGAGGCAGGAACCATTGCCGTATTTTACAGATTAGGCCGCTGCAGGTCCGAGAGGAAGGCTCTCTGATGTCACACTGGTGCCAATACCCAGTTTGAGTGGGCAGGGGTTTGATGCTAAACACTCCGTCCTGGGCTGCTACTTCACTCAGTGGTGCTCTGGGAGGCCCAGAGAGCATGGATCCTGCCTGAGGCCTCCCTCCTGTCTTTGTCTAGCCCACAGGAGTCGCTCAGTACATCTCATCTAATCCACAGTAGGTGCTCGATACATAAATGTCAAGAGAGTCATTCAAACCTTCCCAGATGCTCTTCCTGACAGGCCAGGCTTCTCCAAGCTTCCTCCATGCTTCTTTGCATGCTCCTGCCTGTCTGAGGAGCCCTTCCGAACAGACCCTGCCTGCAGCCATACAACTTCCCCATCCCCTCCAGACTGTCCAGGGCAAATGCTGCACCTGTCCAGTTCCAACTGTGTGCTAGGGCTGGTGCCCCCACATGGACTCCTCCTTAAGTCTGCCATTCTGTGATTTGTTTCTTCATTCTCTTTTCCTACCTTCTTGCAGGCTATCTGAACATTTTTTAGGATTCCATCTTGATTTATTTGTAGAATTTGTGCGTGTATTGCTTTGTATGGTTTTCTTAGGCCATGCATTCACTGGGAGTATAGCAGGAGGACAAAAAACGAGACCCCAGGAGGTGAATATCTTAAGGCCTATGATGCCAGTTTCCTTGTCAGTGACCATGGTGAAAACTGAGCTAGTTCATGCAAAGGATTTGGAGATGCCCAACAACATTAGTGCTGCTGATGGTGGCTTCTGAGCTGGGGACGCCGAGATGTGTGTATCCTTAAGGCACTCTGCCTGAGGGCTGGACATCACAAATCATTCTCAGGTATCCTACAAACTACGTTAGCATTCCTCACATTTGACAGATGAGAGCACTTGGCTCACAGGGATTCCGTGGTCCCCCAAGGTCACACAGATTTCTTATTCTGGGGCCTGGCACACTGCTGGGGGCACCTATCACATTGCTCCTCTGCATGATGAATCCCAGCACTCCAGTCTTAGACCCCAAAGATCTATTGGATCCTTTATCTCAGTAAAGGGCCCACCATTCACTCCATCCACTAAATCCTGTTCTCTTTACAGGACGCCTGGGTGGCTCAGTCGGTTAGGCATCCAACTCTCGATTTCGGTTCAGGTCATGATCTCAGGGTCATGAGATCGAGCCCTGCGTCAGGCTCTGAGCTCAGTGTGGAGTCTGCTTGAGATTCCCTCTTTCCCTCTGCCCCTCCCCCTGCTCACGCTCTCTAAATAAAATCTTTAAAATAAAAAAAAAAAGTACGGGCGCCTGGGTGGCTCAGACGATTAAGCGTTTGCCTTCGGCCCAGGTCATGGTCCCAGGGTCCTGGGATCAAGCCCCATATCGGGTTCCCTGCTTAGCGGGGAGCCCGCTTCTCCCTCTCCCTCTGCCTGCCACTGCCCCGGCTTGTAGTCTCTCTCTCTCTGTCAAATAAATAAAATCTAAAAAAAAAAAAGTAAATCCTGTTCTTTTTACCCTCAGTGCACTGTGCCTTCATCTGTCTACTTCCTTTGGTCCCCCTGCCACCACCTTGGCCAAGCCACCATCATCTCTCACCTGGGCCCCCATTGCCATGCTTGCCACTGCTCTCCTTCCATGCTGTGCCCCTGCCCAGCCTACCACTTTCCACATTGCCCATTTCCCCCAGGCCCTCTCCTGCCTGAACGCTCTGGCAACTCCCCACCATTTCAGGAGGCAGCCCGGCTCTTTAAGACAGTCTGGATGGGTGCCTCTCAACCTTGAATGAGCAGCAGAGCCACAGGGAGGGCTCGTTAAAACAGAGTGCTGGGCTCTGCTCCCAGTGTTTGCTTCAGTAGGTCTGGGGTTGGACCCGAGAGTTTGCATTTCTAACAAATTCCCAGCAGATACTGATGTTGTGGTCTAGAGAGCACACTTTGAGAACTGACCTAGATCAGTGGCTTCTGGGATGAGTTCCTGCCAAGGCCTCTTCAGCCTCACCTCTCAGTGCCCTTCCCTCTGCAACCAGCCCGTGTTCCCGTCCTAGCTGCTGAGAGTCCTGCTTTCTTCCCCCGAGGGGCCTGCAACACAGCCTCAAAGCTCTTGCCCCCACACTTACTGCTCAGCTTCATGGCCTCACTGTCGCTTTGCTAGACAAGTCAGCTCCGGGCCACCTCACTGCCCAGGCTTGGATGGGAAGCCCAGGGGTAGGACAGTGTGCTGCGGCTGTCTGTGTGCACCTCCAGGGGTGGCGTCGGTCTTGTCACCTGGCATGCGGCAGCTCCAAAACCACTTGCTGGGTAACTGGAGCCGCCCACTTCCCGTCCGGTCTTTTAGCCGTAGGACAGGGCACACCTCTAGAGC